TTTTTTTTTTTTTTTTGACTTCTTGTAATTGTATTAGATCTAACATTAAATAATTATTTTTTTTTAATGTCCTATATTATTTTTTTTTTTTAATTTTTGCTGTTAGATTTCAAATTTAAAAATGTTGACACCTTTCACGGCTGCCTAGACTAGCCTAGTGGTAGAAATGGCCCTGTGAACAATATGGGGGTATTACTTGTTAATGTAATTGATCAGATAATTTTTGTCCTTAATTGGTTCCGGTATTTAAAAAGACAACGCATGCTGTGTTTAAAAAATATTGTAATAAAATCAAACTTCTAGCCCTTCCATAATGTCTGCTACAGAAAAAAAAAAATTTAATTTAGTTTCTCCATATGTAGCTAGTAATAAGTTTATTGGTTGTAAATAAAATTTCAATGATGAGAATGCCTGGGGATTTTTTTGTGTTGCTCCTCGTTTGTCCTACTGTTATTTAATTAACATGTTCTGGTCAAGAAGATTTCTTAATCTGGTTTTGATTTTAATTTTAGGTAATGCTGCTACAGAGAAGTGGCTCTCTAAAGGTGGTGGGGGTATTAACTTTCACTGAGAAGGAAATTGAGAAGGGGAGAGAAAAGGTCTGATGGAGGACAGGAGACAAAGCGGCCCCCCTGACAAAGTGATGACAGTAAATTGTTGCACCAAACATTACAAATAAAGAATCAGCAATTAAAGTTAAGAAAAATTGAAATGATCAACTTGACCTAATGTGGTCTGAAATGATCAACTTGACCTAATGTGGTCTGAAATGATCAACTTGACCTAATGTGGTCTGAAATGAAGGAAGGGCTTTTAATTTTAAACAAAGTTAAGAGTTTTTTTTTTAAACATCTAAAAAATACTGCTAAACATTTTAACAATACATGTGTTCGTGACTTATTTGATGTATCCTTGGTCGCAGCAAGATATCTGTGTACCCCTAGAAGCTAGGGAATAATTTTAGAACATCGTTTCGTACCCTTTTTTGAGTGATAATTTACACTTTTACGTTTTAGTTACCAGGTACCTCTGTGGTCCCCACCCCTGTGATTACTATAAAATACCCGGCTACTAATTTATACATGCATAAAGACATTTTTGATGAGTTATCATTTCCCCACCCCAAAAAATGTGGGTTTGGGGCATATGGCTGTGAAGAAACGCTTTTGATGGCCACAACGGTTTTTGCGTCATTTTTCGATATACGCAGAAGGTGTGCGCGACTGAGTTCACGATACCTATAATTTAACCAAGGCAAAATTAATTGAATAAAGATTTTTTTTAAATTAGAAAATATCTAGATTTTAAAAAATTGTTATGTTGTGACGTCACAAATTTTTTACCCCCCCCGTAACAAGTTCACAAATTCTCGACTCCTCCCCCCACCTTTTTTTTTTTCTGAGCGTGACGTAATTTGCAAACGACCCTTAAGAATATAGACTACCTGTACGTCTAATTTTCAAAACAAATATTTTAGACATGAACTATAACAAAACTTCGTTGTTGTTTTTTAAAATATGCATTAGAAATGTTAGCTCCACTCTAAGCTATACAGTAGTATGCGTGGTCTAAAAGAGTGATACAAAAAAGTCTCAGTGCTGTACAGTGTTACTCTTAGATTTCTGTAACAGTTGTTTGTGGGGTTTACCTCAAAACCAGAAGGTATAAAATACTGCAGCACGCACTGTATCGCATATTAAGAAATATGACCACATCAACCCAGTTCTTGTGAGTGAGCACATTGACTACAAATTTTTTTCCCTGCGTATAGCTGTATGGAAGGCTCTGCACCTGAATATCTTCAAAAAATGATTTTTAAACATGTACAGAACCTGCGCTCTTCAACACAGTCCTTACTGAGAATTTCCAGTGAGGATGGACACAGAAAGAAGTCATAAGGGCTGCGCCGTTTTGAGGCTAATGCGCCTAAATCGTGGAACAGTTTGCCTCAATCTTTGAGGGACATTGAAAATGATAAAAAGTCATTTAAAACCATTTAAATACATTTTTTCTTTAAGTAGATTTTAGGACATCAGAGCGCTGTTAATGCGAGCTAAAATAGCATAGACACAAGCGATATACTATAAAAGTACTCAATCATCATATACTGTGACTGCAATAAAACAATAATTATTTGAATTCAATGTTTGAAATTAATTGAACTGACTTCCCCGCCCCCCCCCCACTTGTTCATAAAATTAGCTAACGTAATGTTGCCTATACTATAATAGGTTAGATAGGTTTAGATTTCATAAATATTTTTAAACCCTAAAAGTACTCAATCAACATATACTGTGACTGCAATAAAACAATAATTATTTGAATTCAATGTTTGAAATTAATTGAACTGACTTCCCCGCCCCCCCCCCCCACTTGTTCATAAAATTAGCTAACGTAATGTTGCCTATACTATAATAGGTTAGATAGGTTTAGATTTCATAAATATTTTTAAACCCATTCATTTATGAAATGATGTGCAATTTATAGACCATGAATTATACCAAATCCAATGTTATATGTTATGTGCGCAAACCAACATAAATCAATGTGAACTTACTGACACTACAGATATTAACACTTTGATATCAAGTTTCATTTTTTTTTTTTGGACTGTGAAATAGGCTAGAATAAAAATACAACATATCTGTAACCAGTGTTTCTCTCAGAAAATTAATTATGTCCCCCCAGGATGCCGGCCTGGGGAAAGAGGGGGGGTGGGGGCATTGATAGTGTTTAATGGATAAAAATAATGGGTTTAGGAGTTGGAGGAGGGGGCGTAAAAATAAATCTTGTCTCTTGGCGCCAAACACTCTAACTGGGGGTGAGGGGGGGTTCCACCCCAGGTGTCACTTTTTCTTTATATGGGGGCGGCTTTTTCGGACAAATGCCGAGTTTGTATCGTGATAAGGGAGCAACGTCGGCCTTAGGTAAACTTTGACCCTATGTGGCGCCCCCTTCCCTGTCCTTGTATGGCTCCGCTCTTTTTCCGATTACGACGTAAGCTATGGAGCCCTTTCGGTTGGTCCCAACCCCAATGTTAATAACCAAATTCAGAATGCAACTTTCATTTTATGAAAAACGATTGTGCGAAAAGTTCCGTTTCTTGTCTCCTGACCTGTGGTTCACACTTCACTATAATAAACTAAGGGAATTACAATATTTTCTGGGCGCTCCAGGCGCCCCTATGGCCACGGTGCCTTAATTAAGCGAGGTCGCACACCCTAAAGGCTTGCGTTGAAGGGAGTGAAGCAAACATCTTGGCCACTCCAGAGCGGCACTAACACTAGCTACAGCACTAGTCAGAGTATCTATCGACACTAACACTAGCTACAGCACTAGTCAGAGTATCTATCGACACTAACACTAGCTACAGCACTAGTCAGAGTATCTATCGACACTAACACTAGCTACAGCACTAGTCAGAGTATCTATCGACACTAACACTAGCTACAGCACTAGTCAGAGTATCTATCGACACTAACACTAGCTACAGCACTAGTCAGAGTATCTATCGACACTAACACTAGCTAAACCACTGGTTAGTGTATGTAACGACACCAATAATAGCTAAGCCACTAGTCAGTGTAGCTATCGGCACTAACACTAGCTACACCACTAGTCTGGTGATAATAACAGTTGAGGCGGCTACACTCGACACATTTATGTCTATTGCCTCCTGTATTCCAACCCCAAGTTCATAACACCACTGCTGAGTCGCCCTTGCAACAGGTGAAGCATCCCATTGAAACCCATGCACAGTAACATCGCAAATCCCTCTGAAACATAGGAGCCCGAATGATCAATTCATTGATCGTGGGCCCTCAAAATAAAGAAGAAGAAGATAATAGGCCCAGTTTTACTGTTATTTTTATCGGGAAGTGGGGCAGAAATCAAGGGCGCTGATTGCACTTGATATTGATAGGAATTGGGAAACCCTTACCATAATTTCAAAAAAAATTATTTCATAATCAAGAGCTGCATATTGGTATATACCTGAATTCAGTGCCTCTATTGATACTAGCTGATTGAGGGAAGGAATTTTTCAAGCGTCCTGTGTGGCATTATGTGGCTCAGTGTCGTACATAAATGAATTCAGTCTGGTTGTGGAGCGCCCCAGAGTAATCAGCTAGCACAAATCCTAATCCTAGATTCAACCCCATAGTGTCACAATTTCACCACAAGGGAAGTGGGAAGCAGAAATTGTAAGGTGTCGGGGGGCGGCGCAAAAGACATTAAAAAAAAAAAAAAATATTCCCATTATTAATACTTCCTACCTTAAGCAAAAAGAGTCATATTTCCAATTGCATTATTGGCTCCTCAATAATATAAATAAAGTTAATAAAAGCTGTAGCCATTAAATGATATATTTTGCATTGAACAGTTCGTGCAATTGTCTTCATTTGAGGTAGCTATCATTTCAAAATGTAGGGATACATTTTGGCACAGACCTGAATTCAGTATTTCTTTCAAATAGTTTTGGTGAGCGAATTGCAGACTTTCAGATGGGAAGTGCAAAATTATCCAAAATAACAACCAGGGACATCTCTAGCTTCACCAAAGACCAACTTGAACCAAAGTCATTCCAATTGTGGCACCCTTGATGGGTTGATGGTGTGCTTTTTGCCCTAGTCCTAGCTTAGCCTCTGCTAACTTTACTGCTGCTAATCAAAATGCATATAAACGTATTTGTTTTTAAAAGGCAGTAACATCTAGTAATGGCAGGAGGGGGTGCTTTCATCCCTGTTTAAGAACAACTGTTCTAGGGAAAAGTTTTTTAACACAGGTGCAGTAATTCGATATTTACTGATATCCATGGTAGGCCTATATGATTTTTGTAGGGTTTGTAATGGACAGCAGTGACAGAGTGTTTTTTTTTCATGGGGTGGGGTGTTTGTAGCGTTATATTTTAGGGGTGGTTTTTCTTTTTGTTACAATGGGGGGGGGGGGGAATGGGTCAACTTTCGGCAAAATTTAGGTGATGTCAAATGGATGGCCCCTAAATAGGCCTACTACTAATAGCCTACCACCAGACGTTTTGCACCCTAACTGCGCCCATGGCACTTGACATTTCATATAAAAATGATGGTATTCGCCAGCCCATTCTTGCTACGATCACACGTCACATTGCGTATAAATTTCGTGGAAGATGAAATTTAAAAAAATATAATAATAAATAATTAATTTCAACGCTTCAGTATAAAAAATATATTTAATTATAAGTTATCATCATGTCATCAATGTCATGTAATTTTTTTAATTATTAAAATAAAAATAAAATGCATTCCTTTTTTAAAGATAAAACATTGGCCTACATATCCCTGTTCATTTAACATTAATGTGAAAAACTGCCTTTTAATTGTTACATTGTTACATATTATATACATCGTCCCTGTACCATTTGCTTTACACTCAAGCCTTAGCCGCCTTAGGCTGCCATAGCCACAGTTAACCTATTTAGACGAGGCTCTCACTCTAACCTACATACTTCACTGTGCACTCATCTGAACTACTTAACCCTATATCTTTTGGCTGTGCCAGAGTGTGCTGTGTTACAAGTTACATGTAAATCGCAACGTTTACACCGGGCTATTGCGAAATATTTCGTCCGATAGCCAAGGCCTAGATGCGTCATAATTCATAATAAAGTAAAGAAATCATTTGATTCTGCATAACACAAGTAAGTCAGGAAGGTAACAAAAATAACTTAGACTTAGATTTAACAATAAATATCGGCCCCCGCTATCAGTTAATGAATGATTCAAACCTTTCCTTTGGTAAATACTTAATGATAATGCAGTGAGTTGAGTGAGGTAATAAATGTCATGAACCTGATCAAATAATACATTTTTATGACAAGCCAACTACTACAGACTACAGTCTCAACTAAATCCCTTTCCCGACTGGGATCCCGTTCGATTTTTAGTAAACAGAAGATATCCAATTTAGATTTAGTTTTTTTTTTTACCTATGATCTTTGTAAGTTACAAATTGTCACACATGAGTATAAGCCAGCAAGGACCTTTTTTTAAAAAGTCTAGTTAAATGCGCTGGACTACAATTACTACTCAGTATCTCTAGTACACAGGCTCTCAAGTCATGACTTCATTTTCAGCAGAAGAAGCAAAGTGACCTGTGACCCTTACCATGTCCACAATATATTTAAAAAAAGGGCTTTTAAATAATTTAAATAGGGAAAATTAAAACATTTTAAAATTTAATTTTTCAGTATAATAATAAAGGCCTAATTGGTGACATATTTAATGTCAATGACACTGTCATGATGGAAATTGCAACTCAAACTTTAAGAAGACACCAATTAAAAAATAAAAATACTTAATACTTAATTTTACTACTTTTCTTAGTTTAACTGTTCATATATCCAAATTTTTCTCAACAAACTTTAACTGTTATATCCAAATTTTTCTTAAAAAACCTATCAAAATTAACTCTTTATCCAATTAAGGGATAAGTGGTGAAAACTGAATTCAATGCTAGATTTTAAGATAAGATAAGATTCTTTTTTTTATCCAAACTGTCCGGCAAACAAAGACAAATGGAAATGTTTTATGATTGCATTGTACATTTTCAGCACATGAATGAAACAATTTGAACACAAGACCTCTATATTAAATTATTTCAAACAGATATTCAGTGAGTTCTTAGCCATATCAGGGACTTATTAGTTCTAATTAAGATTTGTGACTTCAGGGGGAGCATGCTGGTAAATTCATACAGATTGGGGAACAAAAGAATTTTTATATCTTTCATTCCTCGCCCTGACGGAAAGAATTTGTCCTGAACGGGCCGATCCTAAGTATCTGTGATGAAGAGGGTGGAATGTATCATCCAAAATGTGTTTAGTTTTACAATAACATCTTTCTTCAAATAATTCTTCCAGTAAAGGATGTTTAGTTTGTGTTATGTTCCTCGCTTTCTTGATTAGTCGGTTTATGTGGGTTTTAATATCAGATGTTGAATTCCCACACCAGCAGGTAATACTGAAATTAAGCAGGCTTCCAATTGTTGCACTGTGGAATAAGTTAACGACTTGTTTGTTTACACTGAAATGGTACAGTTTTTTGAGGTAGAATACCCTTTGTTTGAATTTCTTATACAGCATTTAGCCGTGCTCATGCCATGTTAGCTTATTATTAATGGTGACACCTAAGTACTTATATGCCTCTTTTTTCTCTACACTTTGATATTTTTATGTTGAGATCTGTAATCTGGTGTTCCCCCTCCTGAAATCAACAACCATTACCTTTGTTTTTGAGACATTCAGGCTGGAGAAAATTTTCATCGCACCAATTCATAAAGCTTTTAACTAAGTTGCGGCATAAGCCTTCTCCTTCAGATATTAAGCCAACGATGGTGGTATTATCAGCAAATTTTAAGATTGGAACGGTGTCGCTTGAGCTTTTAATATTATTGGTATATATTGTATGCAGTACAGGGGACAGAACGCAGCCTTGTGACGCCCTGGTGCTTATTTCTCTGGTTAGAGATAATTGGTCATTTACCTTGACATATTGTGGTCGATTTGTTAAAAAGTTCAGTATCCAAGCCTGAATATTTAAATTTACACCTAACGAGGAAAGTTTCTTTATCATAAGATGTGGTTGGATAGTGTTAAAGGCTGATGAGAAGTCTAAGAATAGCAATCTGGCATATTTTTTGGACTGTCTAGGTGACGGTAAAGTCTCTCCAACAATAGTAAGGTAGCATCCTCCGTACTTCTGGCAGGTTTGTCAGCAAATTGGTGGGGGTCAAGTTTTTGCTGTACTTCATTCAAAATTTGTCTCAGAATAAGTTTCTCAAAACATTTCATTACAACAGAGGTAAGTGCAACAGGTCGTAAGTCGTTGTTGCAAGTTACCTTATTTTTCTTTGGAATTGGTATGATTTCTGAAGTTTTCAAGATTGTTGGTACTGTGTGAGTTACATAAGATTTATTAAATATGTAAAAAAAAAATATAGGAGAGCTGCTCTGAGCATAGCCGACCACTTAATTTGTCTGGCCCTGATGCCTTGGCTGTGTCCACTTGTTTAAATAATGACATCACTTCCTGTTCGGTGAACAATAAAGTACCATCCTGTGTAATACTGCCATCGTTAAATGAATTCATCATCTCATTGTGTACACTTCCAAAGTCCAGACATTCAAAACGACAATAAAACTCATTTAAGTCGTTAACAAAATTCTTCACGTCCTCAACACACAACCATTCACGCTTAGGAGTATATCCTGTTATTTGCTTTAGACCAGTGTTTTTTAGATAAATTTAAAAAAGCTTCAGTAACACTGATATATTTAAAACTTATTTAATAACCAGTACTTAAGTCTTGGACTTAAAGTGAATATAAAACAAGTGTTAGAGGAAAAAATCATTTTCGATATGAAAGTTGGATGTGCTATTATTGACAAGCAAATCAAAGTGTGACTTGATTATAGGCAGTGCTACCTGGTACACTTAAGGTAAACACCAATGTTTCTGATCAGAATCTATAGGCTCTAGGGAGTGACTATGAAATGGTGGCTGGAGTGGTGCATGCAGAGATTGCGGCCTGGGCAGCATTTTTTTCTTTATATTGAGGGGCGGCATTGTCAGCCACCTGCCAAGTTTTTTCATGGAAACTTGATGGCCCAGGTTGGCACTAACCCTAGCTACGCCACCGGGTGAATATAATTTTTTATACTCGAAAATCTCTATGAAATGAGACTCAAGCGAGAAAACATTTTTAAAATTTCCTGTTTCTTGACTACTGTTGTGCGGACTGGCAGTTCCAAAGTTTCTGGACCATTCTGGTCCAAGGACCACCATTTTAAAAAAGAAATTGGGCCAATTAACCTTGTACAGTTTCTGTTGATGTAAAATTTATAAAAACTTAATGTTCCAAACTAAGTAGGCTCGCCCATGATTTATAATTTAGATCTAAGTGTTTGACAATATTTTGTTAAAAATGTTTAATGTATACTATGTAGTCTTATAAATTCCTGTTAAACTTCTATTAGGAAAGAGGAATAAATGCATATTATGTGTTTATAATTTTATAATATTATTACGTACTAGTACCGTACTATTAAGTTTTAAATGGTTTTGCAAATTTAACCCGTTTGAAGATTTGGCTCATTAGATTAACATGACGCAACAAAGGACTGAAAACCAGTATACAAAGAAAAGTGGTACCAAAGCTAGTGATACTAACAATATTCACTTTAACTATCCTATTAAATTTATATAAAAAGCCTAAATAAAATTTACAAAAATAACACTATAATATCTTAAAGCACACTAAGTGAAAAAGTATAATCCTCGAAAGTTACAAAATTTAATATACACACACAAATAGTAAAATCTTGTAAGGCTTCAATAATTATATTAAAATGTCTTATGTCTATGAAATTTAGCAAATCTCTCTTGGTTAGTAACTGCCGGCTTATTTATAGGGAAGATGTTAGAAGAAACCCTCCAGTAAAGAAATTCTAGAAATTGCATCACTCAACAGCATATTTTTTTTTCTTCTTTCTTTGCATCCTATTTGGTTTTGGAGTAAATAACTATTATTTGTTTTTCTTTTTGAATTTTTAGGTTCAAGCCTCACTATGGGGAAACTTAATATATTTGAGATTTCCTTTAACAATGGAAGTGGTGTTTTTTATAGTGGTAACATTATTCAAGGATATGTCACAGTAGAATTGACAGAGCCAATGAAAATGAGAGGTTTGTGAAAATAAAGTTATTTTTTAACAGAAAACATCAAGGGAGTTATAATAGTTTATAAATTAAAATGCATTTGTATGCCATTAGTTTTTAAAATTGAGTTAAAACCTACATGGAATTTTACATTTCTACTTTGAGCTTTTGACTTAACTTCCATTTGAAATACAGTTTTACTTAAAAACATGTTGGTACTCATTTATATCTACTCCTAGGTTTTAGGACATGTTAGGAGTGACAAATATGGAACAGGAGATTGACCATCTTATTTTCCTTATTGGTTAAAATCTAGCCCATAATTCCAACTGATATATTGATTTATTTATGTGATCAATATTATTCTTAATTGAAAATTTCTTTTGTTTTTCCTGTCTTATGCACACAAAAAATTTAAAATGTACAGTTTGCATACCGGTAGCAGTGTGTTCTTATTTGTCAAACTATAGTCTGACCACAATAGTATCTGAGGGACAGTGAATCAGCCACCCTGTTTAAAGATGGTACAGATTTAGAACAAAATCTTAGCGAATTTTTAAATTATTTTGTTAAAATTGCTCCATTTTAAAGGAATAAAGCTGAACTTTGAAGGCAAAGCTTACGTCCACTGGACTGAAAGTCAATCCACAGGCTCAGGCAAAAACCGTACCACAACAACCAGGCATTACTCTGCCACTGAGAAATACTTTGACCAAGATGTTCTTCTATTTGGAATGTGTAAGCTAATCAGCAAAAGTTCAATAAACATAATTTTAACAGTGATTAATTGCAATAATTTTTAAAAAAATTAACTTTAAATAAAAATAAAAATTAAGCAGTCTTATCTTTGGTCAATCTTGGTTTTTTTAAAAATAAAATAAAAATGTCTGACTCTAATAATTTGATATCAATAGAATGATTTTTTATTCCCTTAACCTGTATCCAAGTATATTTTTTTTTAAATATTATGTTATGACAATGATAAAATGTTTTGTTTGTCAGGGTCAGGACAAGGCAGTGACACCAAAGAATTACAAGTTGGAAGGCATACGTTTCCATTTCAGTTTCAGCTACCACACGGTCTCCCTTCTTCCTTTGAGGCACACATAGGCCATGTGAGGTATACTGTTAAAAGTACAATTGACAAACCATGGAAATTCGATCACAAGACCAAGAGGGTCTTCACTGTCATCAGTGTCTTAGATCTTAACATTCAACCTAATACTATGGTAAAACATTTTTAAACAGTTACGTTAACTCAGTCAATATTTTTGAGAATTTAAATAAATTGTCTTATGATCATTTTTTAATAAAGTTATTTGAACATGAAAGGAATCACAACCTACAAATCAAAATGACAAGATCTCACTATTATTTCATACTTACTAAAATAAATAATTGCTGCATTTCCTTTTAGTGAAGTAATGAAAGTACATTCAATGTATCTTTTATTTTGGACAATCTTAAAGGTATTCAAAGCAAGTTTTGATGTTTCATTCCATATTTTTATAGTCACGACTCCAAGGAACAAAACAGAAACATTTGTGCTGCCTCTGTTGTAAATCAGGGCCAATCGAAGCAACTTTTCATATTGACAGAACGGGTTATGTTCCAGGAGAAGCTATTCAGCTTTATGCTGAAATCAGTAACGGGGCAAGTAGACGAATGGACAAATCATATGTTGATCTGAAAATGGTAATTATTTTCTGATACTTTGAAGCAATTTTTAAAAAAAATTCATTTTCATGACTCTGATGACCAGATATGAGTTAAGATATTCCAGTTAAGTTTTTTAGCTGAAAATTGTATGTTGGTACCCTGGAACTAGTGGAACTGTGAGCCAAAGTGTGCACATTTTTATAGCCATTTTAATGTTTCATCTACTGTTTCTATAGTCATTTTTATTGTAGTTACTATTCTAGTGTCTCTGGTTTTTTTCCTTTTTCTTTTACTTTAGCAGTTTAAATAGTTTATATATTTTTAATAATTGTAAAGCACTTAGAGCTGTAAGGTAAGCGCTATAAAAAATCCCTAAATAAATAAATGCCTAAATAAAACTTTGAGGAATTTCGAGAGTCCCTGGAGATTGCTGCCAGTTGGACAAAAGGCTTAGGCCCTACTAGTTAATTGTTCAGTTTATTTTAAATCACTTTAAGATGTCTTATGAAATTTATTGTCGTCCTCGCTTTATCAAGGTGACAACATTTCGTGCCACAACTAAGTCAAGAACCACAACAGCTGAAGTGGCGCGAGTAACTCGTCCAGGGATTGCAGGTCACAGCGAAGACAGCTGGACAGGAGAACAGCTGGTAATTCCACCCTTGCCACCATCTTTCCTTGTGGGGTGCAATATAATTGACATACATTATATCTTACAGGTGAGATAAACTAAATAGGCATATTATCTTGCTTTCATATCGGCATAAAATTAAAGATAGAGTCGAGCTCTTCAGAAAACTATAACAGAGGAGCAGAGCTTTTCAGTACAAAAAATAAAAACAGTCATTACAATGGAGACGGGTTTCACACTGCTAGCTAGACATAATTTACAAAGGTAAAGAGATATCCATAATGTAGTGAGTATACTGTTGTACTGTATGGTCTGTGATTTATAAAGGCCTATTAGGCCTTTCTAATATAATGTTATATATGTGGTCTAAATTATAATAGAAAGTACTGGTATAGCTAAAACGTGTAATATTGTTTTGCTGAATTTCACTGAGATTATCAGTTTTAAACAAATAATATCAGGATTAAGATATTTGGATTAATTAAGTTTCTATTTTTTTAAATTATTAATATTAACATTTTAAAAGGCCTCAATTTCTTATATGCCAACAGGTCATATACTGAAAGGAAATCTTAGTTTTAGAATTGGGTTTTCCTTTGTTTATTATTATACAAGTAAATCTTAAAGAAGAAAAAAATTATATCCCTAGCTGAATGTGGACCCATCTGGACCTGCCTTGGATCTTGAGATACCTTTAGAGATTATTATTGGTACCATACCTCTTAGATCAGTTGTGGATCAGTATCCACCAATGCCACCACTTGGTTTTAACAGTGGCAACATGTATGCTTGGGAGACCAGTCCTACAGCTCCTCCTGCTGAAATGTACTATCCCCTTCCACCACCAAGCAGCCTGCCTAATTTGGGTGAGCAGGAACTTTTTTCCCTTTTGTCTATCTGTCTTTGCAAGTTTTTGTAGTTTGATATTTTTTACACACTGCCATCCTTCTTGAATGCAAGCTGATTCAAAGAACTCTCTACTGTATTTTTTCAAGCAAATAGTAAAAAGACTATTATCAATTACTAAATCTGAATATGCTCTACATCCTTTTTGGAAAAAAAAAATCTTAAAATTTGTTGACTACCAAATCACGGCATAAATGTGCTGAAACTACTGAAAGGGACAAGTAACTGTCATATTTTAATGCTAATCTATGTTAATGACAAAATTCACAGGGAAATATCATTTGTAAATATATATCCTGCTGTATTTTAGTAGAAATGTTTTGCAAATGCAACCATAACTTCTTGACAAATTAGTTTTTATTAAATATTCTTATCAAATAGATATCATAAATAATTTTAATTTCTTTACACCCCATTTCTTCATTTCAGCTCCGCCCTCTTACAATGAGTGCATTACAGGACGCTACAACATGCTTGAAGAAGGCGATGACAAACATACCAGAGGTAACATGGAGTATGCACCTGTTTACACTTACTATAACTGGGGCCACACACCTGGAGTCATGCCAGCACAATCCAAGAATGCTAGCCAATGAAAAGACTGGGGCCACACACCTGGAGTCATGCCAGAACAATCCAAGAATGCTGGCCAATGAAAAGAATCAACAAGGACCCAGGAATTTACATTACAGTAAATATTAATTGTATTGCTGTGTTAAGTTAGACAACTAAAACTTACCATGTTCGTTTATGAATCGACCTACTGGCCTATTTATAAGTTTCAAAGACCATAACAATGTTCTTATGTGCTAATTTTTATTAATTCTTTGTTTTCATCAAAATGGAAAAGAAGTTCATTATTTTTTTTATAGAAAAGCTGACATATCTTTTACAATGAATTATTTTGAAACAAATGATTATACAACTGAGAGAATTGAATTCTTGACTTTTCTACAATTCTTGAAATTAAAAGTCTTTGTGCCTTGACATCAGTTGTCATATAAAGATGGCAAGAAGTTAACTCTATAATTTGCATTTGTTCCTATTCACTTCCAAACCATTAGTCCCTATTGCTGTTTACTTTATGATAAAGTTGTTTTTGTTAAGTTATATAAATATTATGTTATTATCTTAAGTTATGTAAACATTATGTTATTACTGCAAGTTATCTTAATATTATGTTTATCAGTGTATTTAAATTTAAATTAATGCTAATTAGATCACAAGGATATAGAGAGTGATCATGAATCTTAATGTAAAATATTTTATGCCTTATTGTATCAACTTAGCTATGTATACCACAGCTCTCCCACCAGTCTCCATATGAGTTTTGTTATGTTAAATTAAATAATTCACACATAGTTTTAACAAAAAACAAAAACTTATAAAAAATGTGGTCTCTTTCATGTTGATGACTGAAATACAACTTTTTTGAAAGAGCAATAATAGTGCACTGTTACACAATTAATACATTTTTTCCAAGTTATTTTATTTTTTTGCTTTTCAACCAGTTAAATTTTCATGGCATGCTTTTAATTTGTTGCGGCCATGACACTGACGAAATTTGATCTAACTTATAGATTTGTCAAGTCCCATTAAATTACTCAATTTATTGAATTTCTTAACTTAGATGATCTGTAAATTATTTTGGTGATTTCTGTGCCATTTAACATTTACAGACATTTATTTTATTGATTTCATTTTAGCAGTTTTATTTTTCTTTAACTAAAATTCCAGCCAAAACCTGTATACCTAACAAATAAATAAAACTGTAACATTGAATTCATTAATTAATCCTAATGTTGCCTTCCCCTTAAGTGACTTAATAAAAATGCTCACCAAATGTGATAGCGATAGTTATGTGTATGTATCACATTTTGACAAGTGAACACATATTTTTTGTGATGACCACAATGGACAAATATTAGAACCCGTATATATTTTAATAATTTTTTAAAATCTTTTTTAATGGCAGTTCAGTTAATATTCAATATGCTCAAAGTCAATTGGGTGCTAGTTTATTGGAATAGCTTCTCTGTACTTTTGTTATCTATATACACAATATTTGTTTCATGTATTTATCTATACATTTATGTTTCATTCTCAGCTCCAAGTTTATAGACATAACTGTTAATGTAGAAATGCTTTTATTGCACTTTTAAACTATATTTAGTTACAATGTACAATTTACACTATATTTTTTAAATCACCCAAGTATTAGTTTGTACTCGTTTATTGGGGCTTAAATAAACAAAGTAAACTAATATTTATGTAAACATTTATTTTATTTTATATTTTACATGTCAGTTTGTTACTTGGCCTATTTTTAAAAAGTAAAATTCTATGTGTTGGTCATACACTTTAGTTGGACAGCACATTGGAATCTAAATAATGTCTATGTTGTATAGGAAATCATCTTAGTACAGATCTCAACATATTTTTCCTCAATAGATGTTCATTTACACCACGATAGAAAGACTGGAAAAGTTACACTGGAAATTGGGTTATCAAAAATGTTTGTTAAAAAGATTTGGAGAAAAAAATTATATGTCATGATTGCATCATTTATTTAAAGTTATTTGAAATGTATTTTTACACTGTTTAGCTAGTGTTCAGGTTTATTTAAGTTATTTGAAATTTATTTTTACACCATTTAGCAAGTGTTCAAGAAAATCTTTTTGATTATTTGTATAGTTAGTAAAGTATTTTTTAAAGATATGTTACTGTTTACCCTACATTTTAATTTCATTCAATAAAGCAATATTTATCAGATAAATAATCTTGTTCAAATCTTACTTTATGGCTTATGGAAATTACCATCAAAATGTAAGATTATCTTATCACCCAATTATTATATTCTTAACAACAAGGTAAATTTATATTGCGACCTAGACCTGTTATGTAGATTGTTTAGCCTGGCCAATTTATTCTAGGACCTTGCAATACAACTAGAGCTATGCATAGATATACAGGGTGGCTGGCACCAATACAACTAGAACTATGCATAGAAATACAGGGTGGCTGGCAGCAATACAACTAGAACTATGCATAGAAATACAGGGTGGCTGGCACCAATACAACTAGAACTATGCAGATAAATACAGGTTGGCTGGCAGCAATACAACTAGAACTATGCATAGAAATACATGAATGTGTTCAGGTTGAAGCAATAAGAAATTAAATATGCTAAGGGTAGTGGAAAACCTGAAAAAGGACAATAATAGAAAGCGAACGTTTCAGCAAAAAAGCCTTTAACAGAAAAAAACAGTTAACGACAGAGACAAACTCTCTTAGCTTGTTGTATAAACAATCAGGGACTGGAACAATCTTTCAAAAGGAACAGTTGAGGCGACAACACTAGACACATTTGTGTCTATCGCCTCAAGCCTTCAAACCCCTAGTGCATGATTTCCTCATCAACACCAGTAACAGAAACATTGCAAATCCCATCTACATGCATAGGAGCCAAAATGATCAATAAATTGATCGTGGGCCCTTAAGATATAGAAGAGAAGAAGATATGTAGTCTACAGGAAATGGTAGACTTGAGCAAACATCATGGAAAGTACAAAGCCAGGATTTCTTAGGTAAGGTTAGCAAGGATGTTTGATACGAGGCAAATATCATGGAAAGTACAAAGCCAGGACTTCTTAGGTAAGGTTAGCAAGGATGTTTGATACGAGGCAAATATCATGGAAAGTACAAAGCCAGGACTTCTTAGGTAAGGTTAGCAAGGATGTTTGATACGAGGCAAATATCATGGAAAGTACACAGAAGGCAAATGGGTTCCTGCTTTACCTACAGAAATTTGGAACACAAAGAGAGAATTTGAGAATTAGTGTCTGACCGAAAGTGATTTTCTGATTTCGATCAAAACCAGCATGAAAGTTACAACAAAAGCTTTCGGCAGAAAACAAAACTACCGCAATGGGATAGCCATATAACACTTACGCAGAAAAAACAACATATTTTCATATCCCCTCCCGCACGCTATCAACGTAAGAGACAGTCCATATATTACGTACATTTTGAGGATGTGTATGACAGCGTGAGGGTAGTGCCGTCTTTATGCATCGGTCCACTGGCACAGGGCCTCACGCTTCTAGAGGGCCTCACACTTCTAAGAGATCCACTCTTTTAGAGGTATCATGCTTTACACATTATTGTTAATGAATTCCCAATTTTAACCCTCGGTATTATCGGTACATTCCTAAATTAATATTATAAATGCGATTTACACATTGGATACTTCTTAAAGGGGAATAACTCTCGTCAACACGTTTTACGTCTCCCAGATATATTATACGAAGTGGCTATTGGGATATTCGTACCCGGGTACCAGAAGTGAGAGGTAGGGAATCAAAAAATATTAATATATACGAGTGAGGGAAATTCCAAACCTGTCTCTGGCAACAAGCAGTAGGAGGAAGAAAATGAAGCCTAGTTCTTGAGTACCCTTAATGCTTTTATTTGTTATTAGTAAAGTAAAGGTTGAGCAGATTGTAACAGTTGTAGTTTATTGAATTTGTAATCGCTTTTTTTGTGGAATACTTGATGCGGCCCAATGTCACTCAGACTCTGCGGCCCCCCGATGATTTAAGTTTGAGACCCCTGGTCTAATGGGACCCGGGTGCGAATTGCTCCGCATATTATAAATTGAAAAAATTAAAGTAAGTTTTTGTGTTTACAATCATATCAGACCAAAATGTTAGTCTCGGGGCGGTAATAAACTTAGCTACGCCACTGCTCTGCACTCAGTATTGAAATTAGTGGAGACAGCAATGCTTTCTTAAGGCATGAGCACCATGCTTTTGTAGGGTCTCACGTTTCTAGTTAGGTCTAGGTGGCCTCATGTATACGCCAAAATGCATCCCATCATTATGAATTTATTAAACAAAAATTCTGGTAGGCTTACTGAGACCAAACCTTACCCTCAGTTTCGTTTGGGCACCCTCGATCTCTTCGTTCTCCCCAATTTAAGTTTAAGTGACAGTACGGACACATTTTATTCTAAAAAAGTGATGTAAGTAAATACAATGTTTTTTTAAAACTATGCTGAGGCTAAAAGCATACTCTCAGGGGGCTCCACTACCAGAATTAACTTATGGGTTTTTTTTGGTGGTGGTTACGAAGTCAGAGCTGGCCCTGAAAATCATCCCAATTTTGGTGATGGTAGATGCACTGCCACCCCGCCCCCGAATGCCTGAAATACTACCCCCACGAAAAAATGACCTAAATGAAACTGGTCAAAATGCATAAACCAACTTGGGCCATAATGCTTTTCATAACATTACTTGAATAGTAGGCTATAATAAAAACTATTAAAATCAAAGTAGGAAAATGGTTTGTCATCTCTATAACTTCTTTTGAACATAACTAATAAAAAAAAAAAGCTCTCGTTTGCATTAGATGTTTGCTTTGGTCATTAAATGCACAAAAACATTGCAAATCTCCTCTACATACATAGGAGCCAGAATGATCAATACATTGATCGTGGGCCCTTGATATATAGAAGAAGAAGACAATTTTGCCACCCCTTGATATTGACGCCTGGGGTGATTGGCCTTCTCGCCCCCTCTTTCGCATGGCCCTTAGCATAAAGAGGGTTGGGGCGTCAGTGAATTACTTTGCTAAGACTTTGCTGTAAAGACGGCCCTGCATGGGGGAACGGATCACCAGAATGTACCAAAATTTATGCATAAATTCTACAATAATTATCCTTACAATTTCTAATAGAGCCAACTGTGACATAAAAATATGTTAAATCCATGATTTATTATATAAGGCCTATTAAGACTAAAAAAATATCACTCAATGTTTCACGATTATTGGCTATTTGTTGGCATATATAGCTCGCTAGATACAGTTTTATAGTGACAACTCACTGTAGTTTTTCTGTGCTGGTGACGTACTAATTTCTTTCTGCGACCCCCCTCCTCTTATTGATGGGGGAAAATATTTGTTACCCGGTCTCTTAAATCGTAGTTGTGACGGGTCACAGCGTAGAATCGTAAAAGACATCTCAAATTCATACACTTTGTACCAAAATCGTAAAAGTAAACAGGTCTGCAGTAGGCCTGCTACATAATTGTTATACAAAACAGTTATACATGTATTATTTTGTCAATGAGAATATTTATCAGCATGAGAATGATGAATTTCAATAAACTAATGAATTGAATAAGTCTAATGTTCCCTAATTTTACCATTACCTAGGAGTTTTTCCACAATATTATTCACCTTTGCCTATGACAACATTTGTGAGCATGATGATGATACATTAAAATGAATGTTACCAATGAATGAATTGAATAAATCTATGGTTTCCAAATTTTATTTTAGAAAAATTAAACAAAAATTATAATATTAATATTACCATTACCATTCCTGAAGTTATTTCCCCCCACAAAACTATTTACCTTTGCCTAGGCCTTGTTAAAATGTTACTTTGGGAAATATTGGACAAGTTGGTCAAAGTAGGTCATCATGCAGCTGTGAACAGTGTTTACAGAGTATTGGTCTTATATGATACGATGACAATGACAGCAAGCATGAATGAATATCCGATTGCCAACAGACAGAGTAACAGTCTGACTTCTGGTAGACGACCGAAAGTCTTAATCACTTTAAGATCACTTTAGGCAGAAACTGAAATTCGTTCTGTCTCTAATTTAATCAAAGTAATAAGTTTTAAAATGTATGATTCAGAAAGATGGCGGTCAGTGAAGAAAGATTAGAAAAGAATTTAAACCTCCATGAACAGTTTACAGCTTAGAAATCTTAACAGAAGGTGGTGCCACAAATCATGTATAGCCTACAAAATATTAAGGTCATAATGAGGGAGGGAAAGGAAATTCACTGTAATAATCATATAATGTAATGGGGCGGAGAGAGAGGAGTGTGTGTTAGCAAGTAAAAGAGGACATGACATTCATATCGTGTGGTGTTAGGATCCCATAGGTGTATTTATTTGTTTTCCTAACTCATCATTGCTTGCGTGTTGATAAAGGAAACAATGGCTGTGATGAACACATCCGCCGAGCCATTGTGGTCGCTTCTACTGAAGTGAGAAGAGACGGGACAGTGTTTGTCTTGAGCAATCAAGTTTGTTTTGTTGTTATAACTACTCTGAGTAAAGTCACAAAGTTTTAAGCAAAATAGTCTGTAAATTGTTTGCAAATTGCACAATTTAATTTAGTTCATGTAGGCTGCATAACTTAAGTAAGATCCCGATGTGCTAAACAAAATCTGACTTCAGAATTAGAATCAACACACTCTGGTGGCCACTTACAGAAGATTTATTCAATTAATTTTTTTGCCCAGTGTAATTATATGACTATTATTTACTGCCAGTAATGAAAGATAATACAAAATAAATTTTCACATAATATTATTAAAAAATATGACCTCAGAGTAAATGTGTTTTTAACGAGTATTCTCAATAAAAATTTCATAATGAAAGTAAATTAAATTCAACTATTCCCCTAAATACATGACTTAATCAGTACAGAAACTCCAAATTTAATTCTCCATCTCCAATTTTAAAAAAGGTATTTTTGAAAGCTCTGGAACAGGGTCAAATTTTTAATGTCTGGAATGTGTAGGTTTGACACCAGCTATCTTCTAAAATAACTAAGTTGGAACTTTTAAATCTCTTTTGCACAGAGCCAGTCATATAACTAACTCAATTTTGTTCAGGGTTGTCACAAAGCTGTAAAAGTAAATAAACAATTTATTCATACAAATATGAGCAGAAGCAGTATTTGAC